TGTATATAATGAATAGATGAGAATTTTTTATTGATTTCGATGTTGGTTAATCACTTCAAATACAGAACAAAACATCATCTGCGAACACCGTTTGACCTTCTCTGCGTCAATATCTATCAAGGCTCAACAGGTTCGGGCCATTGATATCCAGTTAGAGAAGATACGTAGCTTCTTAGATTGGCATAACTGATTCTTGCAGCGAACGTGGAAACAAGAATCCATTTGATGTTCATAACAACCGCCACGGGCACAAAAACTAGATTTCTACAACAGCCGGACGAAGCCATTTCACGTGGTAAATTAATAGGAGATGAAGAAGAAAAAAACAAAAACAAAAAAAAAAAAACACATTCATTTTGCGCTTGCGCAGAGAAACGCCGCCATTCTCATACTGTTCTTCGCTGTTTGTTTTTCTTATTTTGAAAAATAAGATTCCAGTAGTTTTGAATATTGTTTTTCTTTTTTCCGTGGCGAATTTGTTCGTTCCGTCAATTTTACCTGTATTCACTCATAATCTACAAGATGTAGCATGATTAGCAGTGGAACTATATGCATACATATAGACATACCCTGTGTGTCTCTATCACCTATCGTGGGGACAAAGGTGATGGAAGGAAAAAGAATACAGATGAATTTGGCTAGATTGAAAAATTTTCTTTCAAAAATATTCTTTCAAGATATACTTTAAAAAATTTTGAAACTACCAGCGTCTCTCGTTTCTTGCGCATGTGTAGACGTGACAAAGAACCAGACCGATGAAATGTTATCGGATGAAACACGTCACAAAAACTTTTTCCCAATTTGTCATACTATTTTTCTAAATATTGTTTATATATATATATATATACATGTGAAATGGACAAAGTCCGACAATTATTTAAAGACATTTTGATTTTTATACATTCTTTTTATAGATAAAAATATTTAAGTAAATGCTTTGTTTATAATAAACATTTGGATACACCATGAGCAGATATGAATGTACGTGAGAGAATCATGGAAGATTGTAATTTAAATACAGTAAAATCGACCTTGCTAACCGAACGCTCCTCTGTGGCCCAATCGGTTAAAGCACGTCAGGCTATATGACGGTTTCGTAAAGGATACAGGTTCGAATCCTGTCGGAGGACGAATATTTTCTATGAAAATTTCTCGGACATTCAAGCCGGTAAATGTTGTTTAATACTGTTTATTATAAACAGAGCATTTACTTAAATATTTGTATCTATAAAAAGAATGCATAGACATAAAAATGTCTTTATATATATAAAATTATATATGATATTATATTATATGAAAAGATTAATTTTTAAATATCAACTTTATCCCGACTTCGAAGTTTCTTGGTAAAATTTCCAGTCTTCAGGTGATTCTAGTTTTAAAGGGGATATATATATATATATATATATATATATATATATATATATATATATATATATATATATATATATATATATATATATATATAGTTTATTCAAATTTAGGTAATCCGCATGGATAGACCTGAGGAGGATGATATCCAGAGAGCTCAATGTAAGATTCAGAGCATATATGTTTGAATAAACTAAATTAACGTGGTCTGTCTTTTATTCAAACATACATACATACATATATATATATATATATATATATATATATATATATATTACTAGTGTTCGAAATTTTTTTTCACTCCTATGTATAAAATATTCTGACGACTACATTTAAAATTACCTTTTGACTGATATATATATATATGATATATATATATATATATATATATATATATATATATATATATATATCTATACTGTTACTGATATATGTGTGTGTCTGTGTACGCGCGCTTGTGTGTGTGTGACCCGTGTTCGAATGAGGCTACTGAGTAGAAATCATTGTAGATCTGAATGCAGTTATGTGTAACTATTTTTTAGTGATGTTTTCTTAACTTTTTTACTTATTTGATTACCATATTATTGTTTTTACATTTACTTTTGTTTACGTGTGGATCTTTAGTTTGTTAATTCTTTTATTATTTACTTAATTTGTTTACATATTTATTGATACACACACACATATATATATGTGTGTGTGTACATACAGTGGGGTTGAATAAGTGATCGCACACATGAACATATTTCTTATTTTTATTTGTAACATATTAGATTAACAAAACAGGAATATATCTACTGTATCAGATTGCATACTAAAAATTTATGCATATAAAACTAAATAATATTCCATGGTTAAGAAAATATAGCAATATTTAAATTTTTAGGGGTTTAAAAAATGATCGTACAGTAGTACAAACATATGTTTTTTCCATTTAATATTTTATAGCAAAGTCTTTATTAAGTTCAACAGCAATCAATCTCTTCCTGTATTCTTTAATTAACGATTCGCATACTTTAGTAGGTATTTCGTCCCATTCTTTCTGAGTAATTGTCTTCAGGTTTTTAATATTTGTTGGACCTCTATCACGTATCTTATTTTTTCAAAAATTGCCATAAATTCTCTATTGGATTCAAATCCAGCGACTGACTGGGCCATTGTAAGATGTTAACGTTGTTATTAGCAAGCCAATTCTTTGTACTCTTAGCAGTATGCTTGGGATGATTGTCCTGCTGGAAGATCCAATCAGGAAGAAGTCCAAGATTCTGTACATAAAGCGATAAATTTTTGCTTAGGATTTGTTGATATTTTTCTGCATTTATTCTACCGTTTATAATTGCTAGTTTGCCAACACCTCACATCGAAAAGCAGCCCCAAACCATGATACTACCCCCACCAAATTTGACAGTTGGTGTGGTGTTCTTTGATGTGTATGCTTCACCGTCTTTCCTCCATACATGATTCAGGGAATTGTGACCGAACACCACAATTTTACTCGCATCTGTCCAATGAACTCTTTTCCAATAAGAATTTTCCTTATCTTTATGCTCTGTCGCAAATTTCAACCTGGTATCTCTATGCCATTTCAGAAGGAGTTGTGTCTTTCTTGGGGAGCGCGACTTTATACCGTCTCTGCGTAGTTCATGACTAATAGATTGCTTAGTTACTTTAACTCCTGACAAACTCAGATCATTCTGAAGCTCTTGTCTGATGGCCATTGGGTTATTTTGGACCTGTTGCATCAATTTTCTTTTTAATCTGGGAGAGATCTTCCTGGGTCTGCCTTTGTTCTCAACAGTATTACGTCTTTTAAATCTTGCAATAATGAATTCCTTGGTAAATCTGGGATGTAGTATTTCTTGGGGTTTTTCAATCCAGAATGAGATTGCCTGTTTACCTAATTCATGGGGTATATTGTTATATAGGCTATAGTTTTTGTTGTCAAATTTAAAAGTATTGTTGTTCAGGATTAGGTTTATATTATCAATAATGAATTCCTTGGTAAATCTGGGATGTAGTATTTCTTGGGGTTTTTCAATCCAGAATGAGATTGCCTTTTTACCTAATTCATGGGGTATATTGTTATATAGGCTATAGTTTTTGTTGTCAAATTTAAAAGTATTGTTGTTCAGGATTAGGTTTATATTATCAATAATGAATTCCTTGGTAAATCTGGGATGTAGTATTTCTTGGGGTTTTTCAATCCAGAATGAGATTGCCTGTTTACCTAATTCATGGGGTATATTGTTATGTAGGCTACTAATGTCAAATGTTGTTATGAATGTCCCCGGATCTACTTTTTTTGGTATGGAGCTAAAGAAGTGGATATTGTCTCTGATGTAGCTCTTAATCTGTTTAGTAAATGGTTGTAGTATGATGACTATTATTCAGCCCCAGTGTATGCGTTTGTACTCATTATTTATTATTGATTACTTAATTATTTTATCGTTGATTACTTAATTATTGAACATTATGAAGTTTCTTTTCTTTTTAAGTTTCTTATACTGCATAGTGTGTACGCGAGTTTTGCTAAAAGACACTCTCTTTTAAGGCTGTTTCATAATCTTTGTTAGCTTCATTGAAGATGGCTTCATTGTAAGAATTGTCACATAACCTGCGGTTTATTGTGAGATCTGCTTGATTATTATTGGCAGGTGCTTGGAAGATGCATGTTTGTAAAGTGGTCTGTTGTTGGGTTTTTTATATGGTGGATATGCACATTTTTCCTTGGTTGAGTGAAACGTCTATGAAGTCTACTTTTAGGTTTGATTTTATGTCTATGTCAAATCCCATATTTTTAAAATGTTTTATGATTATTTTTCTAGTTTTATCTGTTACAGTTTCTTAGGGTTATGAAACGCTCGTCCCTGTAGGGGTCTATATCATTTTTTATTTTTTTTATTCTTCATGTATTATATATATATACCTATAAGCTCGCAGATTTTGCACCATCAAAACTTCCTTTTGTAACATCAAATATTATTTTTTTTATTTTCTCACCTATCTTTGTCTTTGAATCATAGTGATATTCGTTAGTGATTAATGTTTGTTACCTCCTTTGTGCTTATTTCTATTTGTTCTTGAGCTAAGGAGAAAGACTTTTCTTGGTCATAAAAGGGTAGAAATATTTTATATCTAGTATAAATTTGGTATTATGTTTTTTAAGTTGTTGATGTTAAGTAAATAACAAACATTAACGAACTACGAATGGAGACATATGCCAAGTAAACATAATAATAAAGAAATAAGTAATCAATAATAATAATGAGTAAAAAATTAAACGATATTGTAAAGTAACTTGAAATAACCGCATTCAGATCCACAATTATTTCTACTAAATAGCCTCTAGAATAATTTCAGTCATGACCATTACCACCCACCTGATAACGGTTAGGATAATATAATAGATCTTATTACTAGAATTCGCCTCTGACCAGCATATATAAATAGTCGAGCGAATATGCAACAGACAGGAGAGACTCTTGGAAGTTAAAAAAAATAATGGCAGCTATGACAATGGATGGAAAAAAATACTATATTCACTACTTTGTTTTGAAAGGCGAAAGAACGAACATAATGCCCGATATGAAAATGGATAAGAAGAATTAAATGAAGTAAAAATGACTCACTTTTCTTTAGAGTCTTTTTCCTCAAATATTTGCCAACGCATTGATGGTTGAAAATTATGTTTAGAATCTGGTTTCTTTTTCTTATCACGTTCTTGTTTCTTCTTGTCTGTGGCGTGATTAACCTCCGATTCCTTTTTGCTGTCCTCTGTTGCCTGGTCATCCTTGGAGACAGCTGTTGCTTTTTCCTCATCATTGCTCGGACTGAGATTGAATTTCTGTAAAATAAATAAATAAGACATGAAAAAAAAAAAATCCAGTTCTTCTCTCCTTGATATTTCATTCGGAAAAAAAAAACAATTATAACCTGAAGCAATCTCAATACTAAGTCTGTAAATATAAATATTTTTTCGAATTCAGTCGTTTTATCTTTAATTCAAAATTTAGGTTTGGTCTAATTTTATTTTTTAATGCTACGTTAGGTCAGGACGTAGAGGGCCATAGATACCTTTTCTTTATTATATGTGAATTAACATGAATTTATCTTGTGAGTAGTTGGCTAGACTGACTACCACTCATGGATAGAGAGTACCTTCTAAGCCTGCAATTTTATTAATCGCATTTTGTGAGTACTAGAAGTGGACACATGCATTTTCCAAAAACGTTACTGCTAAAATGAACGCAACAAGATGGAACGGAACTCGGCTCTCTGATTCCTTTTTTCGGCGCCTAATAACCATTGCGCTACCTGCACATACCCACAAAAGCATAGTATCAGCGAAAAGAAAAAAATAATCGATTTATGTATGAAACAGCAATTCTTTTATAGGATGTAAATAATTGGGTGTCCTGTCGAGATTTATTTCGTCTTTACCCAACAGTCATTTTAATATAAGTATTGTACTTGTGTGTAATATGGTTTCATGAAGTAACTGAAAAAAAGGCGATGTCTACGGTTTAAAATGCATTTTTAAAAATGAAAAATCTTTATTGAAGCTGTTTTTAGTTTTAAGCCCAAGTTAACAGATTAAATTTAATAAGTTCAATAGGCAAAATAATTTGCTGCATTTCAAACCAAATTTAAATTGACTGGAATGATTTTTTCCTGATTATCAATAAATCTATAAAATGCCCATATTGACAAAACTGTCAACATCACATAATTCTCTTTCTAAAAAATCTTTCAATAATAAAATAAATCTAACTTTGCATCAGAAGTAGGAAATCTACTATATGTAATGTAAATATTGATCCAATGAAAGAGTGTAAACAATTCTCAAAATAATAATAGAATTTAAAAAATGCTCAGAAAAATAAGAATGTAAACACTTCTCCAGTAAAATAGAAAAGGCCGGAATCACTGTTCCTATAAAAAATAGAATATAAACAATTCCCCAATAAAAAGAATGCCACGAATGAAAATAAGATGTAAAAAATGCTCCAGTAAAAAAGAAAATATGTAAACGATGACGAAAACGAAAAGAAAAAATGTAAACACCAAAAGTAAATAAAACGTAAACAATTCTCCAGTAAAAAAAAGAAAGAATGTAAACAATGCTCCCGCCAAAAAAAGTAAAAGGAAAGGTGTGAACAATACTAAAAATAGCTAAAATGTAAACAATGCTCCAATAAAAAAAAGAGAAAAATGTAAACAATTCCGTAATAAAAGTAAAAGAAAGGGTGTAAACAATACTAAAATAAATAATGCTCCAGTAGGAAATAAAGAATGTAAACAATGACCCCCATAAAAAGTGCAAGAAAGGGTGTAAAAAATAGCAAAAATAAATAAAATGTAAACAATGCTCCAGTAAAAAAAGAAAGAATGCAAACAATTTCTCGCCCTAAAAAAAAAACAAAACAAAACATAAAGAGAGTAAATAATAACAAAAATAAATAAAAATGTAAACAATTTTCCAGTAAAAAAGAAAGAAAAATGTAAACAATGCTGGAAAAAAAGAGAGAAAATAATGAATGTAAACAATACCGAAAATAAATAGCATGTAAACAATAACAATAGAATATAGAAAAATATAAAAAATACTCAGAAAAAATATAGCGAGTAAACAATATTAGGATATAAAAGAATGTAAAAATGCTGAAAATTAAAAAAAAACAAACATATGGAGTGTAAAAAATGTTCATGAAAAAAAGAAGAAAGGAATGTAAACAATGCTCCAGTAAAAATAGAATGTAAATAATTCTGATAAAAATTACGTTGAGTAAAGAAGCAGAAATTTAAAGAAACAAATGCCAGTGACAAAAAACCTTGAATTAATCAACGCCTTCAGTGTACATACGTGTCACCTAATCCGTCATGAAAACAATTTTGACCTGAAATTAACCCTTCTAATAAATCGGAATATAATTCATTCAGAGTGTTGATAGGTTTGCTCATTTTTTTACGACTTACCAACCTATTTGTGGGTTATTGAAAGCCGAAACATTTTTGGAGGTTTGTAAGAATAATGCTATTTTTTTTCGAATGAATGTGAAAAAAACAACTTTTTGAGATAGCCATGATTTATGCGAAAATAACCCTTACTATTTAATCCATAGATGGGATGAGGGAAGATATAGATTTATAGCATACCCAAGAGTATTGAACTCACACTTATTGAACTCTTTGGTTCCTGTCACTGGATCTAACCAGTTCCCTTCTGAAAGTTCTTTTCTGCTTTAACCTGATATTGAACTCACACTCTTTGGGTCTTGTCACTGAATCTAACTAACGCCTTTATCCACTCTGCCATGTGTCCTCAGTACCCAGCTAAGGCAGTGGAAAACTTTTAGAGGGAAATTAACAGGAGATAACTAATAACTGACATCCATTAAACATGGCACGTGGAACTAGAAAAGTCTACCCAAGTGAGTGAAATAAGGGGTTCAGACATTCCAACCACCTAAAGAAGGCCGGAGCGTACAACGGCCAAAACGTTGTAATAAATATGGCGACAAAGATGAGGACAATAGTCCGAATAATGTAAATAGTGTACAAAATACCTCATCTCAGAAATATAGACAGATAAAAAAGAAATAAAAAAACACAGCCGACTGAGAACGGGCAGTTCTATTTACTTAACGTGACCCATATAGAGGTTTATGGATATATTAAACTGGGCGTCATCCTTTTTCCCTGACTCATGTTGTTACGATTTTAGAGACCCGAGCTGCATTTACCGTAACCTTCCTCAGGGAATAAATGTACAAAAAAAGGTGGAAGATAAAATATGAAGACAGACAAAAGGCGTTCATTCGTGCGACAAGTCAATTCTTGCTGGAGAATGTTACGCAAGATATGCTACAGCGTGTTTGGCAGGAGCTGGACTACTGACTCGACGTGTGTTGTGTCACAGGCGGTGCGCATATTGGGTATTTTTGAAGCATTGTGAAATCGATTATAAAATCTTGATCGAATTTTGACGAATAAATCTTTTATTCTTCAAAATGGAGCCTGTTTAATTTCGTTGTCCCGGGACATGTACTTACACAGATAGTCACATTTTGAATGGATATATATACTCGAGTCGAATTCGACGTATGAGGATCAAGCAGATCAGTTCCTAGGAAACCGACAGCCCGACAACAGCACATGAGATTTGATTATAGTGGTGAAGGTTTCGTGCAGGACCATCCACCCTTTTTGAAGTGCCGAATACAGAGACCTGGTGCACTACGTGCCATAAAGTCCCCAAACGACCCTCCGCAGGTTTTGAATTCAGAGTTGTCCTTCCCCTAGACCAGTTGCCATCCAATGCTATAGAACCCAGTCTGTCCTGCTATTTACCCATAGCTGGAGGGAGAAGAAGAGGATTCATATCTTTCCCAAGGGTATTATCACATAAGTGAATGTAATGGATTCGACTGGAATTTGAACTCGGCTCTCTGATTCCTCAATCAAGCCGTTATCCATGACTCCGCCGTGCCTCGAATATATATATATATATATATATATATATATATATATATATATATATATATATATATATATATATATATATATATATATATATATATATATATATATATATATAAATATTAAAAAAATAAATCTAATATATCAACTACAGATCCTAGCAAAAAATTAAATTAATCATATACTACACTAAATCTAGTATATCCAACTTAATACTTCGCAATGATTCTTCTCCCCGGTTAGCGATTTAAAAAAAACCAACATAGTTTATAAATTCAAGTGCCCTTTGGGAGAGTGTATCTCCAACGAATTAAATAATATTTATGTTGGTCACACCACAAACTCGCTTTCACGACGCTTGACACTACATCTTAATGAAAAACTCTAACATTTTTAGGCATTTAAAACAACATGCCTGCCCGCACACACAATTCCGTAAAATACTTGTCGAAAACACAACTATACTTCGACATGAAAACAATAGACAAAAACTAAAAATACTTGAAGCATTATACATCAAACAGTTAAAACCCAACCTAAAACAAAATCAACTATGGAATCTCTACAAATATTCTTAAATGTCTATAATTTCAATAATTGGTAACAGAAGCCATTAGTTATACCAACGGCTTTCCTTATTTCATTCTCCAATTCACTCTTGTGTAGTCATGTGTGACGTCATGAGATGCGGTGCGATTTTCGCTTCTAGCGTCTTATATGCGCGTGTTCATCGTTGCTTAGTGATCCACTATGTAAACAAAACAATGACAGACTATATCATCACCGTCGTGTCCGTATATTGTTTGATATGTTTGTATTTACATCTTTGATAATGGCTTGAGTAAGCCGAAAGCTTAGATTTTATTAAAAATAATGGATAAATATTGTGAATTTCTTTTTTCGGTTAATGATAATGTTATAAAACTTATCAGAAGATACGAAAATTTTTTACATAAAATAAATAGACAACACTTCTCTATATTATTTAATGAAACGTGTATAAATGAAAATATGCTGCCTAAATACACACAATATATATATATATATATATATATATATGCATATATATATATATATATATATATTCGCCTACGGGCTTGAATAGATACAGACTTAAAAAGAGAGTGAGGAGGAGTGAGGAGATAGATAGATAGATAGATAGATAGATAGAGAGAGAGAGAGAGAGAGAGAGAGAGAGAGACCTAGGAATCAACACTGCATGATGATTGTCAGTTTCAGAGACCGCGTGATTTGCAGTCCCAATGTTGATTTCTATATCCGTAATGCTTCTCTCTCTCTCTCGATATCGATATATATATATATATATATATATATATATATGTATAATATTCTTTTTGCGTGTTTTATAACTATTACCACATCTGCGATTACATTCATGATCTCCCATAGAAACTCACAATCATGTATAATTTGCACACTGTACCCGCCCCCATAACACTCACGCTTTTATTCTCTATTCAACTCCTGTCCGGAATTTTTTTCTCTATATCTCTGCAACATTCAAGCCAATATCAACTCGCATCTACTCACTTGCACACCTCACAACCAAAAATTCAGAGTAATGTGCCAACCACATAAATATGACACTTAAAATTCGTGAGTGGATTTATTTATCAGGCAAGCCAACGAAAAGGAAAAAACAAAACAAAACAATAAAAAAGAAACAAAAAACATTCCCATTAATTGTACATAAAATGAAAGCAAATAAACAATGCCACGCAATACATTGGCAAATATATAATATTACCTACCAATTTGGCAATTTGCTCAGCAAATTTGGGACTTAAGGAGCTGAGAAGAGACACCAGATTTTTAAAGTATTCTCCCTGTTTTTCGTAATCCAGACTTCCGTCAGCCTCTTTGGGTCCCTGGCAAAGACAACGAGAAGAAAAATATAGTTGATAAAAAACGTGACATAAACGTTGCTGATAGGGATTCAGATTTAGAGAGGTATCTTCATCTCTGTAGTTTTTCTAACTTTCCGGCCGATATCTACTTTGGGCTTCCCCGGATGTATTTAATACCCAGTAGTTCTTTAGTTTAACTCTGTCTCCTCAAAAATGAACAGATCGATGTCTGGTGTTTATCTATCTATCTATCTATCTATCTATCTATGTCAGTCTGTTCATATCTATTTATCTATCTATCTATTAATCTATCTATCTCGGTCTGTTCAGATATATCTATCCTTTTATCTATCTACCAATTTATTTAAGACTGTTCAAACGCTATCTATCTATCTATCTATCTATCTATCTATCTATCTATCTATCTATCTATCTCAATTTCTACTGTTCATTATCTATTTATCTGAGTCTGTCCAGATCTATCTATCTATCTATCTATCTATCTATCTATCTATCTATCTATCTATCTATCTATCTATCGCAATTTCTACTGTTGATTATCTGTTTATCTGAGTCTGTCCAGATCTATCTATCTATCTATCTATCTATCTATCTATCTATCTATCTCACTCTTCTGCCAATATATATCCATCTACCAATCTATTTCGGTCTGTTCTATATCTATTTCTCTTATTTAATACGTTCTTTAGGTTTCCATATAACTCTAAGCCATAAAGTAGTCGGTCACACTACTAATCAAGACTTTAGTGCCAGCGAATCTCAGTGCATATTTATATTTCTGACTCATTGTGCATATAATCATTGCCCTCTTTTTTTTAAGCGACAACATAAAATGTCAGTTTTTGCAACAGAAAATTCTTTGTCTCGTCGTCCGTATGTCAAGGTAGAACCCGCATTCTGTAACTCTGGCTGTTAGTACTTGCTTTCTTCAAAAAGTTGCTCGGATAGAAAATACTAGATTTAACTCTGGATCAATTTGTTTTCATGATAAAAATAAGAAACCCACTTGGCTTGTCACCCACAGAATGGCAACAGAAGTGCTTAAACAATCTTTATTTACTCCTCCCACTTCCATTCAAACTTACTACTAACCATCGTGATCAGGGTTAAAAACACAATTCTATATATACTTTAAACGAGTGACCTAGTGATACGTCTCCCTCCTACCAACTTGCCCAATTGTTGAATATATGAAGCATCTTCGTCCAGGCACCAGTATTTGTAAACCAGATGTGTCGTTTATGTCGTGAGTAATAGCATTATTCGAAATATTTGGAGATAAAATGAAAAGTTAAAATATTGGTGAACATTCTTTAGTCAAAAAAAGGAACTGTTTTTCCGAGCACCTGCTATTGCACGGAAGAACGTGCACACCCACAACATTCTGTTGAATATATATATCATCCTGGTCACGGCACCAGTAATGTAGATTAGGTAATGTATTGTTTAGGTCGAAAGTAATAGATTCATTTGAAATATTAGTTGAAGATAAAAATGAGAAGTTGAACTAGGGGCTAACATTCTTCAGACAAACGAGGAATCTATTTTCTCAAGACATCTCCGATCACACGGAAGAACGACAGGAATGTTTTAGTATTTCTACTCCGCCTCACTCCACTAATACTTGAATATTCTGGTTGACTAGTTGATGTTTAAATGTGTACATGATTAAGGTTACATAATCATACATGTATAAATAAAGTGAGCTGATTTATCCATGAACTAAAAGAACAAGTTAACCAGATTTAGTAAGATAATTTTCTCCGACGCTAGGCTTAGAACCGAAAAGAAAAGTGAATATAGCTCAACAAATATCGATTGTTCACTGGCATCTCCGTAAACAGCAAATAATATTATCTCGTTGTTTAAAGAAATTGAACTGAAGATATTTTTATCAAATAAAATGATTGCCCCGCTTCCGAAAATCTGATCAAATCACAAGTAACAAGGCAAGATAAACTTGCAATGGCTATCTTAGATAGGCTTTTCCATTAATATCTTTCTCAAAGAGCCTTGATATAACACGGAGCATACAAACAGGATTAAAATGATTGGTTGATGTCGCACAGAATTTATGAGAACACTGTAGATTAATACACGTAGTGAGAAGCTGAGACAAAAAGTGACAGCAATGTCGTTTTTTATTTCATATTATTTTTCAAACGTTTTTTAAAAAAAATTGCTGCAATTATTGATGTCACTTTAAACTTTTGCCGACTGCTGAATTTTTCTCTGTTTGATTTCATGTTCTCTTCTGACCAATCATAACATTAGAACCATAAGTTTCGGTCACCTCGCAAATCATGAGAGAAAACAATAAGGCCGAGGCGACTGGACGGGTGATTCGCGCAGATGTAATCTTCAAACTATGACAAATTTAAGCCGCTAGTTCGAAGTTCAAATAATAAGTGATCTGTTATGGATAGTCAAACCTCCCAAAGTAAAAGAGACGTGAGTTCGAATCTCACTGAAGGCTTGCACGTTATTTTTGATACGCAATGCTTATTAATAGCCACAGACGACCCGAGTCGATACAACGAGAAGCTACTAAAAACAGAAAGAAAATATATTCGTCAAATGAATAATGGTTGATAATGCTTCATCTAACAATACTAATAATACTACCAGCTGAAAATCAATTGAAGTTAAGATGAAAGAAATCCTAGTCAAAAGTTAATAATGATGGACAATGTGACATCTAATAAAAATTCTATTAAGGCATCTAATGTTACTAATATAATGAAAAATTAGAAATAAGATGAATGAAATCCTTATCAAATATTATGATTGATACTGCTTCATCAGCTAATAAAAATTCAAATTAATACTAGTAATACTACCAGATGAAAAGCATGTAAAATAAAGATGAAAGAAATCCGAGTCAAAAATAATGGTTGACAATGCTTCATCTATGGGGTCGTCACTCACATCATAATAGCAGAAACTAGTCTCGTGTTTACTGCGATTAAAGAATACTTGACTGGAAATAAAACGTACACAGATAACAGGAAAAGTATGATTAATTTCATACAATTTATGTATATTTTTGTGTGTATTGGTGTGTGTATTTGTTAGGTTACAGTTGTTTTATGCTACGTGTGATAAAAGGGAGTATTTATTCCGTTTTATTACTCGCCATATCACAGAGAGAAGTCCGACACGTGTTTCCCGTACCAAGGTTCGTGGTGAAGAGATCGAATTTAATGTTTTTTGGTGGAATGTCCGGCAGGAACAATTTTTGTTGCATGTTGGGAGTATTTTTTATTATTTATTCATTTTATACAACGTTTTTATGATATTGTTTTGTTTTATCTATAATTTTCATTATTATTATTTTGTATTTTTATTTATTTATTTATAATAATAATAATAATAATAACAACAACAACATTCTTACTCATTTAATAAAAAATTCAAGACAGAGCGCAAATTGTTCTTTAATAAGATTTTTTTAAACATTCAGGCCGGTAGAAGTAAATAAATAAATATACTGCCTAACAAATAAACGCAGGGTCTACTGAAATATGAGTATACACTTTAAATAACATTTAAAGCGATAAAAAATCTCTCGGATTAATAACAATTCATTACTTCTTTCCTTTTTTTTTTTTAAATTGCTTTGTTTACGTTTGGATATGAAAGTGTGCAGGTATGAAAAATTTCGTTTAAAAGATACAATTTAAGCCTTGCTTGATTGACTGGTTCTGTATACCTCAGTTGGTTACAGCGTTCCTGGTTTAACGGTAATCCCTCTGCCCAGGGGTAGGCAGCTTCGTATCATGTCGGAGAGTGCTAATACGACTAGCTGAAGAATTATTAGATTGTTTATTTACAATAATAATGATGTTTTACAACATTATAAAAACTAATTGAATTAAAAGTAATCCAAAAATTTATCATTTACCACTTTATACAGAAATGAATATGAAAACAATTCTTTTATTTCTTAATTTATAAACATTTACTGAATTATTAACATATGTGAACCAACTATAAAGAAATCTTTATTATTTACCATTTTAGAAAGTTCGAATCAATTTGTTAATCGATTCGAACTTTGATTTGATAAAATGGTTGGCAAAACCATTTTATCAAATCAAAAATTTGATTTAATAAAATGGTTGGCAAAAATCGATTCGAACTTTGATTTGATAAAATGGTTGGCAAAACCATTTTATCAAATCAAAAATTTGATTTAATAAAATGGTTGGCAAAAATCGATTTGAACTTTGATTTGATAAAATGGTTATAAAACCATTTTATCAAATCAAAAATTTGATTTAATAAAATGGTTGGCAAAAATCGATTCGAATTTTCATTTGATAAAATGGTTGGAATAACATCGGTTAATTGTTATTAGCCGATGTTTTACCAACCATACCAATAAATAATATAATAAATAAATAGTGTTTATTATTTTGTTAATTCTCAAGAACAAAAAAAATGTATAAATTCACTTTCATATATTATTAAAATTATAATAGTTTATTTCATATATTATTAAAATTATAATAGTTTATTTCATATATTATTAAAATTATAATAGTTTATTAAAATTATAATCATCCCTTTTTAAAACAATAAACATTACTGAGGAGTGAAGGTAGTTATAATAATAGCGGCATCTAGGGAAAAAACTGTTCTTTTGACACACCATTTTTTCTCGGGTACAAAGGTTAGAGATTGTCGATGATTTTTATTAATCAGGTAATGAATTGATTTTTTAAGATGAGAACTGATTTGGTGATTAAACATTAGCATTTAAGGTCGTATATTTTAGTGGTCGATACTCATAGAAGAAGTCATACAAGTTGAATATGGGTTACTTTCAAATTCCTGTCTAGGAGAAATGTTCATCGTCTCTACTCTTCATATATTTAAATTAGGCTATCACTGTAGACAAGTTCTAATGTTAAAAATTACGACCAACAAAACAACCATTTCTTAAAAGTTCAGAAAACAGTTTACACAATATTGTTCCGTTGTTGTTTGTCTCTGTAATTACTTTCAAGCATGTTTATTCATGCATTCTTTGGAAAAATAGGAAGACAACTGGTTTTTAAAAACAACAAAAATACGAATAATGAGTGTTGTCTGCCAGATTCATAGCGAGGCCGCGGCCATTTTCCTGTCTTTTTTCCTCCTTAAATACAAGGCAATTAGTCTCTGTTCGCGACTTGCTTCTGGTACTGATTGGGAGTAATATGAATATAATGAAGGCATCTGAAATCGAGTTCAGAGTTCAGCCTGCGAATTTGATCTCAGATTCTTCATAAATGGACTGGCTTAATTTACGAACATTTTTTCAATTAAGAAGATCAAATCTGACGAGAGGAGCTGACAGCAGTCATTTTTTGAGCCGGACTACAAGACCTTTGCAGTAAAGTGGAATGGTCGACAAGTGTTAAGTTCTTTTTCTATGTGTGAGATGTGTAAAATGTCCTTGTTGATTAGACGGTCGTAGAAGGGAGGTAAATATAAACTGCTAAAACAGACCCATCCGTTGTACTTATTATTTTTAAAAGAAAATATCCCTTCTGAAATCTAATTTAAGTTTTCATCTAAACATGTGATGTGATTAAGTCTTTTTCTTTTATACTCTATGTCCTTGGCTCCCCACAACTTCCTGTCTTTTGTTGCTCTATGT